CCTAGTAGCTTCTTGCTACTAGTAGCTTCTTGTTCCTAGTAGTACGGACAGGAGCCCTTCGTAGCGTTCTTGCTGCTAGGCGATGCCCTTTGCTCCTAGTAGCTTCTTGTTCCTGGTAGTACGGCCAGGAGCCCCTAGTAACGTTCTTGCTCCTAGTATCCATGCCCTTTGCTCCTAGTTGCTTCTTGCTACTAGTAGCTTCTTGTTCCTAGTAGTAAGGCCAGGAGCCCCTAGTAGCGTTCCTGCTCCTAGTACCGATGCCCTTTGCTCCTAGTAGCTTCTTGCTACCTTCGTAGCGTTCTTGCTCCTAGTAGCGATGCCCTTTGCTCCTAGTAGCTTCTTGCTACCTTCGTAGCGTTCTTGCTCCTAGTAGCGATGCCCTTTGCTCCTGGTAGCGTTCTTGCTACTAGTAGCTTCTTGTTCCTAGTAGTACCGCCAGGAGCCCCTAGTAGCGTTCTTGCTCCTAGCAGCGATGCCCTTTGCTCCTAGTAGCGGAGGGAGTTTTGAAGGGCCAAGCGGCCAAGATTTAAAAGCGCTCCTGTTGAATAGCTGCAGTGTTCCAAGGCAATGAGTCAATGAGACAGATCAGTGATGTTGCCAAGTGTGCCCAGCCACTACCTTTCTGAAATGAAATTCCCACTCGACGTGACGACGTGTGCTTTCACACTTCTTGCCCTGACCAAGGACAAGGATTGGGGAGATCACAATGGCTACACTGCCCTTTCGGAAGCGGCCATGGCCGGCCACACGGTGGTCGTTGGACAGTTGCTACGGGCAGATGCAGATCCCAACCTGCAGGCTCAGTGGGCTGCTTGTGGCAGTGGTCCACAACGACGGTTTGACACGCCTAATGACAGCATGATTACAATCAACTATATAATATAAATATTTGTATAATTGTGTTATTCATTTTATGACATCATGGACCTTTGAGCACAATCAATCCTAATTGCCCGTTTATCCGTCAACATCGGTATGGACATGTTCAGCTCTTTGTCAAGACACTCTGGGGAGTGAGCGGAATGAATGAGTTGGGCGTTTTCAAGAAGGTCTTCAAAGGCATGCACACAAACCGCATCAACAATGTTCTTTCCGCAGCAACAATCTTGTTTTATACACATTTTAAATCTTTCGGATTAATTAAAGGAATAACTTTCCGAACAGTAAAAATCTACAAAAAGTTTACAATGTTCTAAAGAACTTGTCAACATGCATGTCCGAACACTGGCCGAACACTAATATAAAGCTACAAAATTCTCTTTGTATTTATAAATAACAACCGTTTGTCGCCCGAACGCTAACCGAACACTAACATTTTTTGTAAACGTCTTTCCTTGTTTGAGCATTGTAACTTCTAGAAGAAGTTGTAAAAGAAACTTGCAACTTAAAAAAAAAGTTGTTGAAAGAAGTTGAAAGTTGTCAAAAGAAGTTGAAAGTTGCCCCCCAAAAAGTTATGAAATAAAGTTGCCATGGCTGTGTTACGTATAGGCTTATTCCAGGTACAACCATCGCAGACCTTTTGTAAACACTCAAGGAATGAGTGTCTCCAAAGGTCTTACATCGCTTAAGCGTCATGCAATGTCGCACAGGCGGCTGATGGCCGGAGTGCCTTGCACCGTGCAGCCTTCCATGGGTGGATCCCCATCGTGCGCTTGTTGCTGCAGCATGGTGCTGATCCGGAGCTGGGAGACGTCGATGGCCGACGGCCGATGGAGATGACAAAGAAGGAATCGGTGCTTGAGGTGCTCGGAGCCGGTGCTGAAGAGCACAAGGAGATCATCGAACAGAAGCGAAAAGAACGAGCTGAAAATCCCAGAGAGCCAAAGAAGGAGAGCGTCGAAATTCAGTATCCTCCAAAGAGAAATGGACCAGTCACAAGACGATTGGTCCCAGAAAAGAATGGCTCAGATCAGGTGAAGCCAGAAGAGAAGGATGAGAAGTTCTTGGAACTTCATTCCTCCTTGGACATCGTTACACGCCCAGATGACTTTGCCAACGGCCGAGGTGACCGGGCTGGTTATCGCGAAGAACCAGGGGTTCGCTTGCAACAAGGCAGCCTCATTGTCGAAACCTCCGATGGGCTTTTCGCCAGTGATGAGGTGGACCAAAAGCATCTCGAAGACATCCATCATCAATCTTCATTTGGCTGGGGGAAGGAGGTAGGAGAGAGGCAACTCTCAGCATTTCTTGGACATGTTTTTGGACGTCATGCGAGGCTTCCATCGGCTTTCCTCCAAATCGCCCACGTGCACATTTTTTGACAATTCCGAATCCGCACCCTGTGAAGATTGAACGCATCTATTTTTTGTCCACTGACAGGACCCACAGGACCCAGCTCAATTTATTTTGGACAAAGGGCTTTGACAAGTTCTTTGTTGTATGTTGATGGTTTTTTAATCTCTGAGTGTGACTCATTATCAGTCACATCGACTGCTCCTAGGTCAGGACCCAGCCCTGAAGAACAAGCTGAAGCCTGGCTTCAAGACGTTGGCGATCTTTTTGTGGCACCCAACCTGGAGGCCGTGATGAAAGCCAAATCTGAGGCACAGGAGTCCTTCAACGCCGGCCATGTGAGTCACTTGGATCAAATACTCACCTATCAGCACGATGCAAGGGCACAAGCTCACATCCAACATGGATGGACATGTTCTTGAACAAGCCTCATTCAAAGCAAAAATGGGCCATGGATAAATTAGGCCATCGCTACTAGGATGGAGGCCATCGCTATTAGGTAGTTTAGTCTTCATTGTTTTCTGACTCTCCACGAGGCAATGCCCGGAAGGTCACTAGTGCCGCCATCCGGACCTGTGCCATGATGCTGGCAGAGGACAGGACATGTAATTAGCTGCATTTACTGCAGTTCGTCATTTAGCTGTATTCGTTTTTGGCCGATGGAGGATGACCTATCGGCTCTGGAGCACAAAGCATCAAGTCCACTCGCAGACCTGAAGAATTTGCCCCTGGGCGTGGGTCGTCGGCCATGAAAGGACCTGGTCGGCATTTTTGGAAGCGAAGTGGGTCTCGGACCTGGTCGGTTGAGTTCCCAAGAAGGATAAAGTCGTGTTGGCTTTACTAATGTGTTTGTGTTCTTATGACGAAGTCGTCATAGGTGCAAGAACCAAGACAGAGAGAACTGGAGAGAGGTAGTGGGAGGCCATCGCTCTTTGGGTTGGAGGCCATTGCCCTTCAACCCAATAGCGATGGCCTCCAACCTGCTTGTGATGGCCTCCAACCTGCTAGCAATTTGGCCGTTGTAGTTGCACCAGGTAGTGCAAGGTAGTTGAGGCCAAGACCTAAATCATGGAGGCTAGTCACTAGGAGATTGACGGGACGGTAGCGGAAGCCGGGTGCCAAGGTTTGGCGTACTGCACTCCAATCGCAGCCTGCTGCTGACACATCAGATCCAGGCAAATGACGAGGAAGTTTTAAAGTTTGGTACCCATGCGGCTTGGACATTGGTTGTGAAGGATGCTTGTCCTTTCCAGCATTGGTTTGGTGGTTTGATTGTTTGATATTGTTTGCCCTGCCCACGTCAATGTAGTTGAGTTGCAGACTTGAAGACCATTACGGCCAGGTTCCCCCAATAGAATGTCACAACGCTTTTCTCGTGATCGTCACTTCCTGGTGTAGTGAATGCGCAGCTGAGGATACCGACACAGCTTTACGCCAAAACCCTTCAAACTTCAAGGTGCCGATGATTGCTACGGTTGAAATTCTTCAGCGAGAGTGCCCCAAGCGCCAAGACAAAGGGTGGACACAGTACATTCACATCTCATTCTTTGTGAAATCCATCTCCAGATGTTTCATTCCAAATCCACAGCCTTTCAAGGCCAGTCTTAGAGGTATTGTGTCAAACCGAGTCAATCCCCCCAGCCTTCAAAAGTTTTGTTTTTGGAGTTCAGATCTTCATCGACAGACGAAGCACGAAGTGTTGCAGGCCAGCTTCCGACGGGCCAAAGCCCTCTTCGAGCTGGGTGACTTGGAGCAGGCGATGGCCGACGTGACGAAAGTGGTGCCTTGGAGGGCAACGCGCCCGGTTCGACCTAGTTCCTCCCTCAAAGCATTTGGACTCCGGGGATTTTGATGGATTTTGTAGGAGGGGTCAGACGGCAGCTGGAGCTCCAAACTCACTTCTTACAGATTAGATAGCGTTGGATAGTTGGACATGGGGGACTTTTGAGGCAGCTGAACGACGCTGCCAACGTCCTGTTTCGCCCTCTCAGAGCGCTCACCCGAGCCATTCAGGTGGACCATTACGCTCGGAACACTCAAGTCTCCAACCCGGAAGCGGTGGCGCTGCGCGCGGCGATTCAGCTTGAGCTCAAAAAGGAACGCGCCAAATGGGGTGAGAAAGGCGGCCCACGATGGAACCGGGCCGCAAAAGAGTGTGAGCCACTCATCTCTGAAGTGGGTCCTGAATATGCTGCGTGAAGTGGAGAACTTGGTGAAGCCCCGTCAGCACGGCGGTGGCTTCTGGCTTGCGGCCCTGTCAACTGAGCTCTAGACTGATGCCTCCCACGTTTTTGCGATTTTCGCTGCATGCGGCCGGGGGCAAGATTCGCCCCCAGGCAGTTTCACTTTGCAAGAAATCTGCATGTGCATCCAGCATGAGTCGATCAAACTCACGCAGAAGCAAGAGACCAAGGTGACCAATCAGCAAAGATTAAAGGTGTGGAGAGCTGGGATGTCGGGGAGGTAAGGCGTTCTGTTGACGCGACAATCCAATATCGCATGCATTCTGAACTGCGTCCTTTATATAGGTGGCTCAAGGGCATCAATGGCTGAGGGAGACCTTGCTCAAGCAGCTTGCTTATTGAGTCCTCCCGTGTGAGATTCTCCAGAAAAGCTACACTGACAGTGGTGAGAGCAGCAGCTCGGAAACGTTCACAACTGGAACAGCAATGCTTCATTCTCAACTTAGCATGATGGTGAAGACATGCTAGGAAAATTTGTCTTGAGCCTTTGCACGGCCAACTTAAATATCACTTTAAGCCAGATTGGCCTTCTGATGACTGTACAAGCATAGTGAGGCCCGCAGATGGCTGCGTTTCCTGTGACATGATGAGTCATGGCAGGGTCTGGCCTTTTTAACCGTGTTGCTGCCTCAGTTCTGTTTGTTACATCCGGGTGCCTTTTGTTTGCTGGATGTCATGTGCTGTAGGAGAAGAACGCAGAGAGAGACGAAACACATCTGTCCTGGTGGAGAATAAGTATCGGGCCTCACCTGCAACTGCGTTGACGCACAGGTCGCGATCCCTGGCCCCTTCGAGGAAAAGCCGGTGAGAGAATGGGCAGGTCCGGCGGAGGGCGATTGAATGAGTTGAGCCACTGGACTCTGCGAAGTAAACAGTAGCAGTCGCTTTACATCCACCACATCCACAACATTCTACAGACAGCGAGGAATCCGATGAATCGTGTGGGAATCTAGGTATTTAGGTTATCTTTCATTGGTTCTTCTTGGCTTTTGCCATGCTGACTCCGCTGCTGCCCCCGTCATAACATAACCTCCAAGAAGCCATCAAGGCAGATGTCACCAACATTAGGAGCAAGGACGCTACTAGGGGCTCCTGGCCTCGCTACTAGGAGCAAAGGACGCCCATTGGGCCCAGTTAGCGGGATGCCACATAAATCTGAGAGCTATGGTGCTGATGTCATTGTGTCAGGTTGGCAAGAAGCTGATGCCAAGAAGGACAACGACAAGGTCATTCATCAGACTCAGGTTTCTCGGCCTTTTAGTTGTGGCCTATCGGCAGCCTATCAGAGACTTCACTAGATCAGAGATCTTGACTAGTGGGCAACAGCAAACCACTTCATTGCGCTGCGAGGTTGAGGCTCCACCAGATGTACCAAGGTCTGCGGATCAGATCAACATGAAGTGAGCAGACGGCAGCCACTTCTTGTCTTAGACTTGCAGAGGTATATGAGGAAAAGAAATGAAACGTCAAATGGAACATCATGAAACGTCAGATTCATCAATTGTGATGCTCTTTTCGAGAAAAACACCGTGGCCCTGGTTCCGGAGGATCGCTTCGCCCAACCAGCCGGATACGGCGGGCCGACTGCTGGGGCACGAGCGCAGGCGCGGTCAGCCTCGGCGCGGCTCGGCGGGGCGTTCGTTCAAAATGCCGAAGGCTCCGAAGGCTTTGCTTGTTGGCGCTGAGCAAGGTGAGACAACTGGGGCACCGGGTATAGACCACAATTGTTGGTGGCATCGGATCCTCTCTCTCCACCTAATTACCTAATTAATATGAGGCTACACCCGGAACGATAACGAATAGAGCTAAGAGATGCTAAGACTAGCCAATGAGTCCCTACAAGTGTCCTCCCAGCTACAGAGCCCATCCAATATCATCCAATGCAAATCGGCTATTTATACCTTGGGTCCATCGAATCTAATTCATTTGCCCAGAAGGGCTCCCGGATGCTTCCAGTTTCCCGGATGCTTCCAGCCCTTGTTGAACTGAGACGTCTTGGGATTATGAACACCTCAACACGCTACATGAGCATTGACCCATGGCTGTCAACGCATGCACTTTGGTCTTCCTTCCTCTCCTTCCTTGGTCAGGGTCTCCATCTTGTCGGTAGAGGTGGCCGGGGCTCGCATGAGTGTTGGGCGGCTCAGACTGAGTGATGCCCAAGTTGGGAGTGTTTGGGTCTTCTTCATTCGTGTTTTAGCTTTGTACTGCAAATTCTTCAACCACTTGCTCCAGGCGTGCAATGGCATTTTCAGATATGATGGCTTACATCAACAAAAGCCGCTCTTCAAAGCAGACAGCGGCGCCATCATTTACTTCAACAGGCGGGAGATGAGTTGCGTTGGGTGAGGGTTCAAGTGAGCCAAAAGCAACAATGGCGGCAGAGTAAAGCGAATCTCTGTCAAGCTGCCAGCTGATGATACCAAGTCCGTGTGTTACTCTCTCTCTCTCTCTTTTAGATCTAGGCTTCCTAGAGGTTGCCTTCGGGAGCCCATTCTTAAACCCAAGTGAGCTGGACCGCCCATTCTGCGCAACTGAGCTTCAGGTTTTGGAAGATGAATGCTGTCTTCAAGACGAGCTCGTGGATGCCCTCGACTCAGACGCATTGTATCACAAGTTTGGACCATTGTTGAACAGAAAAACGCGCACGCACCTCTTCAAATACCCAATTTGGCTTCCTTCCCTTCGGAGTTTCCTCCAAGAGAGACACGCAGACAGGGAGGCTGTTGGTCCTGGAATGTAAGCATGCACATGCAGCATCGGCATGAAAGAATTTTGGATGAAGACAGGCTCATTCGAGTCCTCCGATTTTCAAGATTCTAACTAACAATCTACAGTCGTTTCATCGATCGGTTGATGTCAGGTACAGTCATGAGAGCAAGGAGAGCTTGCCTCCGGAAGGGGACTGGACGCTCCAAGGGTTTGTGCCTCAAGTTGTAACATAACGAGAGGAATTGAAGGAATGTAAATGTGTGAGCAGCAGCAGCGTTGCCTAACGAGCTAGTCAAGGAAAGCAACAAGCCATTCATGCAGCATTGATTTTGGAAGATACTTTTCAGGGCCACCGTTTGTTAAAATCTCCTACTATTGGTTTACGCTATTGCCACGTTGAAAACATCAAGATGTTTACTGGCACAGTTGAGCCAAGGTCATTGGAGAGCAGCACCGGCGGCGCCGAAGCCCTCAGATTTGCGTCAGAAGCGCGGACGAGGAATCCAACCGAATCCCATCTTAAACTTAATTACTAATAGCTTCTTGTTACTACTAGTAAGGCACTTGTTAATAATTATGCACTTGTTCCTAGTAGCGAACATGGTGTCCAAGCCGTCGCTATTGTCAGCTGTCAGGTGAAGTGTGCTAGGTGGAGGCCATTGCGGTTGCAGACAGGTCCGGGACTTGATGGCTGAGGTTCCTGTGGTGAAGCTGTTGGACGAGCCCTACAAGAGTTTGGGTCCACAAGGTCAGAACTCCCGTTGAGTCGGTCGGAAAACAGACGCAGCCGGCATCGAAGCCAATTCGGGGAAGGCGAACTTCGAGTCTATGACTGGGGAAGGTTGCGAAACCAGTTCGCGAAGCTCGCGGTGTTTGCGCGAAGCCTCGCGAAGCCTCGCGAAGCCATCCTTCCCACACATTCTGACCCTGCGAAACCCTCAGTGTAGGCAACCTAGCAGTGTATAGGCAGTTTACCTTTTGAACAAGCACAGCTCAGATGGGGACTGACTGCGCTAGGTTCTGGAATGCTTAATTGGAAAATGCCTTTTCATGCACTGACCAAGCCCTACGGCGCCACCGCTATTGGACCGCTTCAGGAGCATCCCTCCGCTTGCAGGGCGGTCGCACGGTCGGGTGCGTCCAGTTCGTTGGGAATTGTCAGCCTGGTGGTAGCGCCCCTGTGTGGCGGTCACACTTACATGAAAAGGCCAGTAGTTTAGAGGAACATGGAATTGGGAAGAGTTTTCTACGCAGTTTTGTTACAAGGCTTGTCTACCGACTTCCGACTTGCCTTCTTGAGTGCAACTTGGGTTGTGGTTCCTGATTCGTTGAAGGTTTCATGGCGGCCTGGCTCCTGACTCCTGATTGAACTCTGTATGTTTGGGCTCAAGAAGTCTAGCGTCATCCTCATGTAGTATTGGTCGCAGCCTACATCCGGGAGACAATACTAAAGCAGTAGGGCACCTTGCTAGCATGGCTCGATCTACACATGCAGATGCATCCAACTCTCAAAGACAGATCGGGAATCGGGCATGTCAACTTTAAGTAACAAAGCACATTTTTCAAGGCGTGCTTGGCAATGACGGCTGGATTTTGAAACCCTTTAAGGTTGGAGGCCATTGCTATTAGGTTGGATCGTTATTAGGTTCCTTGAACGTCTTTTTCTTAAACTCTTTGTGTTTGAACGCAACGCTTCCATAAGGACTCCTGAACCCGGCATTTTGGCCACATTCGGGGCACCCTCGTGGCGCCGACCCTCAGCCCTTCCCTCCACCAAAAGCCTGTGCATTTCAGGTCGGTTAATTGCAAGCGAGGATGTTGGTGCACTGGTCAGATGCCGAAGCAGACTTGGGGGTGATTGGATAGATAATGATAGATACTGACATGACATAGGAGAAGTAGTAGGTGGCGCCGGCAGCAGCAGCAGGAGCAGGAGAAGTAGCAGTAATATCAATAGCAGTGGTAGCAGTGGCGGTGGCAGTCGCAGTTGTGGGGTAGACTTGGAAGTATACTCCGGTGGACACAGGCAACAGGTCTCAGAACCTACCAACCAACCACCAGCATGGCAGGCCATTTGCATGGCATGTGCCGAAAATGTAGTTCACTTCGACAGCGACAGCACCTCAGTACCTCCAAGACGTGTTAGGGTTGAAGGGGCTTCTGAATGTCCAGACCAATCATCAATCAGGACAATGAAGACATTGGTCGTTTGCCCTGTGAATTTCCTTGTTACAAGGCTTGCGTCAAGGTACGGCTCGCGAAAGAACAGCGATGCGTCTTGTGCAATGAGACCTGCCATTTGGATTGCTTACAGTGTAGACCTTGCAGTGAGCAGTGATGGCAAGACCTACTCCTGCTCAGTTGACAATAGCAATTCAGTTTTGCCGTGCGCACTAGTGCGCCCTGATGACGCGTTCGGCACGAAAAAGAGTGCTGATTGGATGAATATTGGATGGCTTGTTCTAGGAGGCTGATTCAGACCTGGGAAGGGTAAGGTTTTCTTG